TCCTACCAGTATATTGACAAGCTGAGATGACCTCGATTAAACCCAAAATTGAGGCAGAGTTATTTATCTGAACTGTTTTGTACTCACCCCTTGGGTATCAGGATTAGTAGCTATTTTCATGGCCTACTGGATTCAGCAAGAAACATGCAGGGCTACCTCTCCTGAAATAAGCAACTCTCCTTAGGTGTGTCAGCTTTCCTTATCTTGCTTTCTTCCTTTGACCAAAGAGGTTCAGATGTGTTTGCTGGGATCTCCACATTTCCCTGATCAACCTGCACATGCATACACTGCCCACAGCTTACACTCTGACACCTGATATTTTGCAGGTGACTTAGCTGCCACCCACAAATGTCCGTCACTGGCTCTTCTTCAGAGCCCAGGTCAGAATGGCTGGGAGCCATGGTGTCTCTTAGTTTCCCAGGAGCAGCCAGTTCGTGCTATGTCACACGTTGGTGTGAGTTTGCTGAAAATCCGTCCAACTCCCTCACTTAAAGTGTTTCTCAACCATGATTTCTGGATTCTGAAGCAGAGCAGAATTCCTTGTATTTTTATAGTTCTGAAACTCCTGCTCCAAAATCCAGTTGCATCTTTGTATTACTCAGTCACTATGTATCCTAGCCGTGGCATTCTCTGTTTCTAGTAGTTTCATAGCTCTTTTCTGAAAGGAGGTATAAAATATTTCTGCCACAAATAAAGGTGCACAGACCACTGGAATACATTTGTGACATTTTCCTGCCAAGATGTCCCATATTAACTGTTTGAGATTGGTAAAGTCATTTTACAACAGTAAGTAATAAAATTATGGCAGTGTTTTGGTGCATTTTCTGGTTTTTATATATTCACAAGGCACTTGCTAAAACGGTGACTATATCTGTGATATATTAATCATATTTATGTTTCCTAAAACCAAATTCTGGTCCAATTACACTTGGGTAAGTCTTACATCTTTGGTATAAATAATTTATAAAATTTGCAGGTCAGAAATTTTGCTTAATATTTGAAAAATTAATCTCTATTTCATATGCAATTAAAATGCAGAGGAAATTTTCCAGAAGAGTTACATTGCACTTGAATGATCACTGATAGAATTTATGGAATGCTGTTAAATATCTTAAGATGTATTTCTTATAAACATATTAAATATGCATACATTTGGAGAATTTAGTTTAGAGGCAAAATTAAATGTTAGAAGAAAAAACATTCTCAGCCATAAAAAAGCCTGCTTTTATACAATACTTGCATCCCTGAATTCACATATTTCTAGAAGTGCAATATTTTTCAATTGATGTACTAACAAATTTAGACATATGCTTTCATATAGATTTATCTTGCAAACATCTTAAAAGCCACTTTTGAGACTATGATAAACTTCTTTTCTTTTTCATGCATTTATCTTTCAAAAGTCTATAGTGAATATTAATTGCTTTAATTAACAAATATTTAATGATGTTAGGAGTTTTATAAATTTCAAGAAATCTAAATATCCAACACAAGATTAGTTAATTAAACCAACCAAGTTTATGTTTTGGGAATAGATTCTTGGCTGCATTGTGAAAAATTAATTTGGGGGTGCAGAAATGTGTGCAGGAATCTTAGTAGAGATACTGTTGCAAAGTTTATGGGAATTAAGATAACAGCAATAAGCTTAGAGTGAACATACAAGAGAAAAATTCATATTCTAGAGCAAGCTTAGATGTGCATATGAAAGATATTTTAGACATTTTGAGGTAGAGGTGAGTTATTTTGATGCCATTGGTGGAAGGTTGTAGAGCAGTACTCTCCAGAAGATTTTTCTGCATTGATAAAAATTATCTGTATTTACCTACATGTGGCTAATGAGAACTTGAAACTGAATTTAAAATATGTCAAATTTTAATTAATCTATCCAGTGTTTTTTCATTGGACATCACAGCTCCAGGTATTTATTTACTCATTAAGGATTTATTTATTTATTTGAAAGGCAGAGCAGCACAGACAGAGGAAGAGAGAGAGAGAGAGAGAGAGAGAGAGAGCTAGAGAGCTAGAGAGCAAGGAGGATCACCCACCGGTTCAGTTCCCAAATGCCTGCAACATCCAGAGCTGGGTCAGGCTAAAGCCAAGAACCAGGAGTTCCATTCTGGTCTCACACATGGGTGGCAGGGATCCATGAACTTAAGCCATCAACTTCTGCCTTCCCAGGCACATTAGCAGGAAGTTGGATTGGAAGTAGAGAAGCCTCAACTCAAACCAGTGCTCTGATTATGAGAAGCCAATGTCATAATCAGTGGCTTAATCTGCTGCACTACAGTGCTGGTACTGCTCCAGATTTGTATCTGCTAGGGATGAGAGATTCATGTGTTGGAGATGTAGTTTTTTGAGGTTTTAGTTATGTGGGGAGCAACTCGGACTAGACTAAGTTACTGGAATTAAGACTTATTCTATGCATCTGCTCTCCCACAATATGGCGCTGAGAAGGGAGCAACAACTTCTATGCAGCTGCTCTCGCCAACTTGATTGACTGAGCTGCAGGAGCTGATCTTGCTCCTGATTGGAGGAGAGCTGCGTACTCGGCGTGTGGGTAGCAGAGTTGGGATTGGTGGAAGAGGACTATAAAGGAGGAGAGAGACAACATGCACCAGGAACATCTAAGGGGAACATCTGAAGGAACACCTGTGCAGCCCCCGAGAGAGCCGGCCAGCGGTGTGCCGCTCCCCTGCGGAAGTGGGGAAAGTGGCCAGGGGGAACCGCCCTTCCACGGAGGTGGAAGGGTCGGCAGCCAACCCGGGAAGAACCAGCAGCAAACCCGGGGAGGGCCGAGCAGACGAAAGAACAGCGCAGGGTCCTGTGTCGTTCCTCCACGAAGACGGGGAGCGACATAATGGTGCCGTGACTCGGATATGAAGCCTAGGCAGGGTTTAGTGTCGTTCCTCCATGAAGAGGGGGAGCGACAAGTTATGTGCTGATTTATTAGATAATTAGCTAGTGGGGCTTGCATAATGAGAAGATTGGCAGAGCGAAGTCTGAGAAAGAAAACCAGTGATTAGCCAAAGGGTGTCGGGAGACCCAGGAGAACAAGTTAGTTTGGGAATCAAAGATATTGAGAGTCAAGGTAAGATTAAGTCAAGAGTCAAGTAAGATTAAACATTCTGGAAAGGTTGAAGTGAGGAGACAGGGGTTGAAATGTATTTGGGTTGGATTTGGAGTTGACTAGATACAGATGTTCTAAGAGGCAAATATATTTTCTTCCCTTCAGAGTGAAGTTGTGTAGTCTCTGTAAAAAGCTGAAGCATGAAACTCATTCTGTCCCCTTACTACTGTGTCCAAATCCTTGATGCAGCTACTTTTCATAAGAATTGATGGCTTGTGCCAGCCAGGAAGGAAACCTGTTTTACAAGTGCAAGGAACTGCCTTTTTTCCCCCACTTTGATGATATCAGTCAAGAACCTGAGATTTGTTTACCATTTCAGTAGGGCAACTCCAGTGAAGGGGCAGAGATGAAAGAAAGGTGGAACCCGAAAAAAGGAAGACAGACTCAAAACATCCTCTGCCTCTCCCACCTCCAGCCAAGAAGACACAAGCCTATTTTAGGAACATTAAGACTGGGAAGATGCAAATAGTTCTGTGTTTATCTGTAAATTGTGCTTTCTCAGGGTCAGCATGATGTGGTGGAATGAACAATTGAACTGATATTCCATCTGATAGACTTGGGACTTGGGTGGCTGTTTCTGTTGTTAACGAATTATTTAACCTCAGCAAACATGCAACTTTAGCTATACTGGTTACAGTTAATATTAGAACTAGATTAGTGATCATGTTTATGTTTTCACCTTTAAAATTCTATTAGTATAAAGGTCAAGTTAAAATAATATCTGACATGCTACAGTAGATCTGGATGCATGAATCCTGTGATACATTTTGTTGACCTGCCTCACAAAAATTCACTCACTATTTCAATAAATACATTTTAAATGATTTTAATGTTTGTGCTGGTCATCTGTATACAGGAAAACCATATTAAAATAGTACAGATGAGCTATGCAAAATTAAAAAAAAACAAAATACATAGTCATTTTCAAATTCTACCCCCCCATCACAAATGATGAGGTTGGTTCTAGGTTGAGAAACTGTATGACAAATTTCATTTAAAAGAAACTGTTAAAGGCTTCTTAATGGTGCTGGCAGGTAGACAGTGCAGTGGGTTAAGGTGTGCTACACTTCATCTTTGATTTCAATTCTTATTCAGTGATAAGGAAGAAGATATTAGGGTTTTCCAGAGAACCATAACCAGTACGATGGGTATAGATATATAAGAGGAGACTTATTATAGAAATTGGCTCATGTGATTATGGAAGAAGCCCCATGATCTGCTGTCTACAAGCTAGAGTAGCAGGAATGCTGATGTCACTTAGCATAAGTCTACAGGTCTGAGAACCAGGGAAGAATTCTGTGGGGCATTGGGTTAAGCTGCCACCAGGGAAGCCCACATCTTATATCAGACTGCCTGATTCAAGTCCCAGCTACTCAGTACTTCTGGTCCAATTTCCTGATAATGTGCCTGGGAGACAGCAGATGATGGCCTAATTGCTTGGGTTACTGCCACCCATGTGTGAGATCCAGATGGAATTCCTGGCTCTTGGATTTGGCCTTTGTTCTGACTGTTATGAACACTTGGGAAGTAAACCAGCGGATGGAAAGTCTTACTCTCTTTGTGTATCTCCTTTCTCTGCCACTCTGCTTTTCAAACAAACAAACAAACAAATAAATCTTTAAAAAAATAAAAGAGATCTGAGAACCAGGGGAGTCAATATGTAAGTCCTGGATGCAAAGGCTGGAGAACCTGTTGTTTTGATGTCCATGGGCAGGAAAAGAGAGACCTCTTAGCTCCAGAAGAAAGAACTTTGATTTTTTCCCCACACTTTTATTCTATGCAGACGCTCAAAGAATTGGATGAGGCCCAACTACATTAGGTAGAGTGGATCTTTTTTACTCAGATGACACATTCTGATGCTGATCTCTTCCAGAAACACCCAAACTAACACAGTAGAAAGGACGGAAGGACGGAAGGACGGAAGGAAGGAAGGAAGGAAGGAACAAGTGAATGAAACAGGGAAGGAAGCAGAGAGAGAAGGATGGAGGTAAGCAGGGAAGGGAAGAGGAGAGGGAAGGGAGAGAAAGGAAGGGAGGGAGAGAAACAAGATGGCTGAATAGGGAAAAGACATGCTGATTTTGACCATGGGAAGATACCAGAACTAGGAGGGAACTGCATTAACAGATGACATTTGGAAATAATTTTGCACTGGAGCATCCATGGAAAGAAGAGAGACTCTGTGGAGCAGTGGGGACTATAGCACTGCACAGCAGCTGGTGGGTAGTACCACACTGCCAGTAACTCCCTCAGGTGGTGGCTGGTGGGGATGCTAACCTCTCAGAGCAAAGTGAGAGGAACCTGCAGCAGCCCAGCTCCACCAGTGATACTGTCTGAGGGGAAAGCTCATGGTGCCCCTTGACTTTGAGTATGACCCAAAGCGCTGGTGTTGGGGGCAGGGTATCCACCTAACCCTATGAAGGGAGAGCACTTTGCTTTCCTCTCCTCCACCCACCAAAAACACTAGCCACCAGCAGGAAGGAAATGCCATTTTGATAAGGTGACTGGAAGCTATTGCAGCCCATGTGCTACTGATGGATTATGTCAGATGGATAAATCTGCAGTCTCCACTATGAGTGTGGCTTGTACAGCTGGCAGAGGGCAGCAGGCCTACTTAGGTGTGTGAAGTAATGGCACATGACTCCCCTCCTCTCCAGACTCAACTTACCAAGGCAGAGCACTGATCAACCTCTGTTGGGCAGGCAGCTGGCTCCAGGAAGGGAGTGGTTGTCTCTGCAGATGGGGGCAGGGGTTCACAGGACAGAGTGGATCCCCTGCTCCCTCTGCCTGTGGCAGCCCTGTGCCCTGTGACTGTGGGAATCCTGTGACTGTGTTCTAGGGCATGAGGTATGGCTAGGTTTTTGGGAAATCACTGGTCCCAGTTCCAGAGTCTCAGTATTCAATGAGTACTGGGGAGGGCCATCAAAGATGGCTCTGCACTCACATGGAGGAATGCTTAGATCCTTTGTATGCATCTTGTACCTAAGTGGGTGGGGTGCACAGGTACTGTGGGTTCACCCTGGGCAGCTGGTTCACCTTGGTGGAGAAGGTCTGGAGCTGTGAACATGCCAGCTGGAGTGATCATACCCTCCCCCCTTACTGATGATAGAGGAGATCTATCATGCCCAATTTGGGTGTCACTCTGGACACTTGCTCCAACCTTGAGAACTGGCCAGAGCTCCCTGGCACACCCAGCACAGCACATATCCCTGGATATCTCCTGAAGGAGCAGCCACACCACTTAGTCAAAGGGACATATTTCAAAGAAGAAAGCCATCAGAGGAAAAAAAAATCCAACAAATTTTTCCACAAATGCATAAAAACAAATGTAGAAATACAAGAAACATGAACCAGGAAGACAATATGACTCTCCAAAAGGAACACAGTTTAATGTTTCAATATTAGACTATGAAGCAGAAAAGTTGATGAAATGCCTGAAAAGGAATTTGAAAGAATGGTCATAAAATTACTCAAAAGACACAGAAGCAAATACATGAGTTAAAGAAATCCACACATAAGACGATTGAGTAATTCTGCCAGGAGATGGAGATAATTATTAAAAAATCAAAATGAAATATTAGAAGTGAAGAATTCAACATGTCAAATAAAAATTTACAGTGGAAATACTTAACAGCCGTCTCAGTGAGGAAGAGTAAAGTATATTTGAGCTAGAAGACAAATCTTTGGAAATATATCAAACAAAAAAGAAGGAGAAGAAGAGGAGGAGGAACAGGAAGACAAAGAAGAGGAGGAGGAAGAATGAAAGAAAGAAGGAAGGAAGGAAAAAGAAGAAGAAAGTAAAAACAAACAAACAAACAAAAAACAAAAACAAAAAAAAGAAGAAAGTAGAAAAAACAAAAGAGTGTTCAAGATTTATGTGATACTATCAAATAACAAACTGTATGTGTCTTAGGAGATCCAGAAGGTATGGAAAGACAGAATGGATTAGAAGATCTATTCAGTGAAATAATAGCATAAAATTTCCCTAATTTGGAGAAAGATATAGACATTCAATTGCAGGAAGCACATAGAATTTCTAATGGACATGATCAGAAAAAATCTTCACCACAACACACTATAGTTGAACTTTATGAAGTAAAATGTAAAGAAAAGATTCTAAATTGTGCACAACAGAATAAGAAATTGCTTTCAAAGGATCTCCAATGAGAATGAAAGCTGATTTCTCATCAGAAACTCTAGTATCTAGGAGAGAATGAAGAGATATAGTCCAGGTCCTAAAAGAAAAACACTGTCAACCTAGAATACTGCAAGCAGGGAAGCTATCACTTATAAATGAAGGTGAAATAAAGATCTTCCAAAGAAAACAGAAATTGAAAAAAGATTTGTCACAACCTAGGCAGTCTTCATGATACATAAAGATGTGCTACACAAAGAAATGGGGAAAGATAATCAGCACCATTAAAGAAAGTGAAGGTAAAAAACCCACAAGTGAAAGCCCAAAGGAGGTTCAAAACAAACAGTACAGATACTTACAGAAAAATGGCAGGACCAAGTCAAGTCATTACTTATCAATAATAACCTTGGATGTAATGAATAACCTCTCCAATTAAAAGATACAGACTGACTGAATGGATGAAAAAGCAAGACCCAACTATATGCTGCCTACAAGAAACAGACCTCATCAACAAAGATACACAGACTGAAAGTAAAAGAATGGAAGAAGATATTCTCTGCAAACAGAAATAAAAAATGAGCAAGAGTAGACATCCTAATATCAGACAAAATATACTTTAAGACAACAGATGTTAAAAGAGACAAAGAAGGGCGTTATGTAGTGATTAAAAGATCTACTCAACAGAAAGAGGTGACCTTAGTAAATGTATATGCACTCAACTTTAGACTACCCAACTATTTAAAACAGAGATATGGTGTCCAATACAATAATAACGGAGGACTTCAATATTCCATTATCATCAATGGACAGATCAACTAGAAAAACAAGTCAACAAAGAAACATTAGGGATAACCAACACTATTGACCAAATGGAGCTAATTGATATCAACAGAACATTTCATCCCACACAAGCAGAATACACATTCTTTCCATTGGTGCATAGTACTTTCTCTAGGATAGACCATATGCTAGGCTATAAAGTAAGTCTCAACAAATTTAAAAAATTGAAATCATAACATGTTTATTTTCTGACTACAATGGAATGAGGTTGAAAATGAACAACTTAAGAAACTCTAGAAAATATACAAGCATATGGAGACTGAAGACAATGCTCCTGAATGAACACTGGGTCACAAAAGTATAAAAAATTCCTAGAAATGAATGAAGTTGACAGCATAATATATTAAAATTTATGGAATACAACAAAAGCAAAGTTAAAAGGGAATTTTATAGCAATTATTGTCTACACTAAGAAATTAGAAAGGCATCAAATAAATGAGCTAACAGTCCATCACAAGGAACTAGAAAAAGAAGAAACCAAGCCCCAAATTAGCAGGGGGAAAGAAATAATAAAAATTAGAGAAAAAATAAACAAATTGAAATAAAAAAATACAAAATATCAGTGAAATGAAGAGCTGATTTTTTTGAAAAACAAGCAAAATTGATACACCATTGATCAAACTAACCAAAAATGGGGGTTGGGGGAGAAGCCAAGTAATAAAATCAGAGATGAAAAAGAAGATGCCACAATGATAACACAGAAATAAAAGAATCATCAGGACTTACTACAAAAGCTGTCTTTCAACAAGGTGGAAAATTTAGAAGAAATGGAAAGATCTTTGGACACATACAATCTACCAAAATTGAGGCACGAAAACAGAAAACCTAAAAAGACCAATTACCAAGATGCAGATGGAATCAATAATAAGGACTCTCCCAACAAAGAAACTCCTGGGACCAGATGGCTTCACTGCCAAATCTACAAAAGTTTAAAAGAAAAACTAATCCCAATTCTTAATCTACTCAAAACAATTGAAAGAGAGGAAATCTTCCCTGACTCCTTCTCTAGGTAAGAATCACCTTTAATCCCAAAATCAGAAAAAGATTCAACAAAGAGAACTATAGACCAATATTCTTGATGAACATGATGAAAAAATCCTCAAGAAAATACTCACTAATTGAATCCTAATCAACATATCAAAAAGATCATCCACCCAGATTAAGTGGGATTTATACCTGATATGCAGGGATGGTTCAATATATGCAGGTCAATAAGTGTGATACATCACATTAATAAACTGAAGAATAAAACCCATTTGATTATGTCAATAAATTCAGAGAGCATTTGATAAAATACAACATCGTTCATGATAAAAACCTTAAGCAAACTGGATATAGGAGGAACATACATTGCCACAATCAAGGCAATTTAAGACAAACCCTTAGGCAGCATCGTATCGAATGGGGAAAACTGAAAGCATTTCCACTAAAATCCAGAAGCAAACCATGATGTCCACTCTCATCATTACTATTCCCATATAAGGACTCTCCAAACCAAGAAACTCCTGGGACCAGATGGCTTCACTGCCAAATCTACAAAAGTTTAAAAGAAGAACTAATCCCAATTCTTAATCTACTCAAAACAATTGAAAGGGAGGAAATCCTCCCTGACTCCTTCTCTAGGTAAGAATCACCTTTAATCCCAAAATCAGAAAAAGATTCAACAAAGAGAACTATAGACCAATATTCTTGATGAACATATAGTTTTGGAAGGTTTTTTTTTTTTTTCCATTGGTTTTGGTTTTTTTTTTGACAGGCAGAGTGGACAGTGTGAGAGAGAGACAGAGAGAAAGGTCTTCCTTTGCCGTTGGTTCACCCTGCAATGGCCGCCGTGGCCGGCGCATCACGCTGATCTGATGGCAGGAGCCAGGTACTTATCCTGGTCTCCCATGGGGTGCAGGGCCCAAGCACTTGGGCCATCCTCCACTGCACTCCCGGGCCACAGCAGAGAGCTGGCCTGGAAGAGGGGCAACCGGGACAGAATCCTGCGCCCCGACCGGGACCAGAACCCGGTGTGCCGGCGCCGCAAGGCGGAGGATTAGCCTAGTGAGCCACGGCGCCGGCCCTAGTTTTGGAAGTTTTAGGCAGAGTCATTTTACAAGATAAAGAAATCAAAGTGATACAGATGGGAAAGGAGGGAGTCAAATTATCCTGTTTGTAGATGGCATGATCCTTTATGTAGGAGAACGAAAAGATGCCTTTAGGAGATTATTGGAACTCATAAGAGAGTTTGGCAAAGTTGCAGAATATAAAATCAACACACAAAAATCAATAGTATTTGTATATACAAACCATGCCATGGCTGGCAAAGAACTTGTGAGATCAATCTCTTTCACAGTAGGTCCAAAAAATTTAAAAACGTTGGGATAAATATATCCAAGGACATGAAAGATCTCTACATTGAAAATTACAAACCATTAAAGAAGAAAATAGAAGACACACACGAAAAATGGAAAAAGTCTTCCATGTTCATGGATTAGAACAATTAATATCATCAAAACGTTCTTATGACCTAAAGCAGTTTATGGATTCAATCTAATCCTAATCAAAATACCAAAGACATTCTTCTTAGATCCAAAAAAATAAAAGACCCTAAAATTCATTTGACAATACAAGAGAATTCAATTAGACAAAACGGTCTTAAGCAAACAAACAAATAAACAAAAACAAAGCTGAGGGTATCAATAGCAGATTTCAGGACATATTACAGGGCAGATATAATCAGAACAGCGTGGTACTGAAACAAAAATAGACATGTGGACAAATAGAACAGATGAGAGACACAAGAAATTAATACACACATCTAAAACCATGTAATTTTTGACAAATGAGCTAAAATTACTCCCTGGGGGAAGGATAGTCTCTTCCACAAATGGTGTTGAGAAAATTGTATTTACATGTGATGAAGTATGAAAGAAGACCAATGCTTTACAAAAATCAACTCAGAATGGACTAAGGATCTAAATCTAAGATCTGAAACCATTAAATTAATATAGGAAAATAAGGGAAACCTTGTGAGATATTGGCATAGGCAAAGACTTCTTGGATAAAACCCTAGAAGCACGGGCAATAAAATAAAAAATAGACCCTTGGGATTAGATCAAGCTAGGAAGCTTTGCACAACAAAAGAAACATTCAACAAAATTAAGAGGCAACTGATAGAATGGGAGAAAATATTTGCAAATTATACACCTGATAAAGGATTAATACCCAGCATACATAAGGAGCTCAAGAAACTCAACAAAAACAAAATAGTCAAGAAATGGGGTAAGGATATGAAAAGGCATTTTTCAAAGGATGAAATACAAATGATCAGTAGACACATGGGGGCTGGTGTGGTGGTGCAGTGGGTTAATCCTCTGCCTGAGGCGTTGGCAACCCATATGGGCACCGGTTCTAGTCCCAGCTGCTCCACTTCCAATCCAGCTCTCTGCTGTGGCCTGGGAAAGCAGTGGAAGATGGCCCAAGTCCTTGGGCCCCTGCACCCATGTGAGAGACCGGAAAAAGCTCCTGGCTCCTGGCTTTGGATCGGCACAGCTCCAGCCATTACAGCCATTTGGGGAGTGAACTAGCGGATGGAAGACCTTTCTCTCTGTCTCTCCCTCTCACTGTCTGTAACTCTACCTCTTAAATAAAGAAATAAAATCTTTTAAAAAAATTGACACATGAAAGGTTGTTCAAGATCACTAACCATCAGGGAAATGCAACTAAAAACCATGTTGAAATTTTAATTCACCCCAGTTAGAATGGCTATACAAAAATCAAAAAATAACAAATGCTCATGAGGATGTAGTGGCAAAGATACCCTAACACACTGTTGGTGGGAATGTAAACTAGTACAACCATTATGGAAGAGAGTATGGAAATTCCTCAGAAATCTGAAAATGGATCTGCCATATGACCCAGCCATTCCATTCCTGGGAATCTATCCAAAAGAAATGAAATCAGCGTATGAAAGAGTTATCTATACCCTCATATTTATAGCAGCTCAATTCACAATAGCTAAGATATGGAATCAATCCAGATGTCCATCAGCTGATGACTGGTTAAAGAAGTTATAGTGTACATACATGATGGAAGACTACTCAGCCACTAAAGAGAATGGAATCCTGTCATTTGCAACAAAATGGATACAATTGGAGACCATTATGGTTAGTGAAATGAGCTAGTCTCCAAGATGATGAATACATATTTTCACGAATTTGTGGTAACTAATATTTAGAGCACAAAAAGTATACATGAGTGAAATTGGCATTATGAGATTTGATTATTGTTTATATCTCTCAGTGGTTTTTCTAGTTAATACTTGTTGAATTCTTCATTTAGTGGAGAATTAAGCTTGTGATTATAAAGTAAATTGAATGTATATCATTGCCAAAATTAAAACAAAAATAAGAAATGAAGAAGAAGGGTGGGTAGAGTGAGGGAGGGAGGATAGGGTAGGAAGTATCACTATATTTTTAAGATTGTATATATGAAATCCATTAAATTTCTTCCCTTTTTATAAATAATTTTTTTGAAAAAGAGAGAAAAGGAAGGGAGGGAAAGAACGTAGAAAGAGAGAAAGAGAGAGAAAGAGAGAGAGAGAGAGAGAGAAAGAAAGATAAAGAAAGTCTGATTCATTGATATATTATTGCAAGAAAAATTTGGTGTGGTAGAACATAGCTAGAGTTTTGTCCTGCATCTCCTAGTAACTGTGTGACCTTGGGCAAGTAATTACACATCTCTGGCCCAGTATTTTCTCATCAGAACCTTTTAAAAGTCCCCTGCAATTCCACAGTGTTACAACATTGATGATGTGACTCACACGACCCCGGACTGCTGGTTTGTAATGTTCAGAGAACAATAAAACATAGTTTTAGGAAAGTCCCTTATTCATTATTTCACCTTACTGCACATACTTCACTACAAAGAATCGTTTTCATCTTGACTGAGGTGAAAAATACGAAGTCCTGAGATCCTGCTGCTCCTGTTCCCTGGGCAGCCCGCTCTGCTCCCCACACATTAGCCCTGGCAAGGAGATCCACTTAGAAGATAAAACCAAACCTGCTCTGGGGGAGCAATGCAGGGAAAGTTACAAAATACCCTATAACACCAGACAGGTTAAAATTCATGTGTTTTCTGCATTTGATAAGTGCTCAATAAAGACTTTCATAATGAAAAATACCTTTCTGTATTTGGATAGCTTCAGGAGTCCCATGATGCCCCGGGTCACCTCTGCAATAACTGGAGGAACACCTTTGTTAAGGAGATACCTCGTGCCAAACTCCTTAGGCCAAAACCAACCAAAAAGAGATTTTCTTTGAAGATACTGTAAGTTTCTGAGACATAGAATGTTTTCCCCAATGGGCTCTTCTTCTACAAATCTTTCCCTTTGGAGCAGGGTTGGGCAATCGTTTCACTGTGAGAAGCTCCAGATTCATGCAAGTGCTCACTGGTGTCCTGGAATTAGGATGGGTCTACATGTGTGACATTTCCAGAAATCACAAGTTCAGCCTGTCATTAAAGACGGGGAGGGTAACAGGAGTTCACTGTGCTGGGTTTCCCAGGGTGCACATTACTTCTTTGTTTCATGTAAACATAGCTAAAATGATAGAGTGTGATGACTCCTCTTAGAATGGCTGTATTTTTTTTTCTTTTATTACAGAGATTGGTAAAACACTTTAAGTGACAACGAGGGACCAGAAGAAAAGCACTGCTTTCTTTTACTGTAATGCCGCGTGGGACTTTAAACACAGGTTTCAGGAAGAAGGGGTTGTTGCTTGGATTGTAGTGTCCTTGACCTTTGGATGCTAGAGCAGGCTCACCGGTAAGGACTTAGATTGTTTATCCTTTTCACATCTTGATTATTGAGGCTACAATAAAGAACTTTCCCTCTTTTCACCCAGAGGTTATTTCAAAGCCCATAGCTATTCAGTATGCACATTTCTTTGATGGCAGTAGAAACAATCCATTACCCTCCTATCCTAGTTATTTCCTCATCTACATCTACCACTTTACTGAAACTGCTCTCTTAACTGTTACTCCAAAATGAATAACCTCAGTCAATCTTCATTCTCCCAGACAACTACTGAAGCTTAGTGTGACTGCCCCTTCTTCCTTCTCCAAACCCTCCTCCTTTGCTGTGCCTGGCACTGTCACACTGCTTCTTCCCCTTTCCTGTTTTATTTTTGTTACAATAATCTTTCTGCCTTCCTCCCTCTTTAGACTAGACATTTTCCACCCTCCACATTTTTGTTTTCTGGACTATGAGCTCTTTCCTATGGTTTCATCTACTGTTTCTGGGAACTAAAAATCTGTTTCACTCTGATTTGAGGTGTGAGTTGAACTTTTGAGCTTCTAATTGCTTTCTATATGTTTATAATGTGTGTATTTGGTGCCAGGTGAGGTGAAAGTTGTGTTTGCAGTGAGCATACTTTGTCGAAACATAGCTTTCAGCTGTGAAAGTAGACATTTCCTTTGGAACAGATCTTTGCTTTCTTAAGCTGTACAGATATAAGGCTAGTAGTTAATCTTGGGGTAGTTTGAATGATGGTAAAGCTATCTAAGATAGAGCTGGCAAGTGTTCTGTTTAAGAAGATAAAATATTCTCATGTATCTATGTGGACACTACAGATTGTTTTATGACAATAAATTTGAAAATTCAGATGAAATAAACAAGTATTTGAAAACCACAGCTTGTACACATTGATGCAAGAGAACAAAGTCTTTATTGATGTATTAAAGAAATTGAATTCCTCATTTAAAACTTTCTTAGAAAGAAGTATCCAGGCCCGCTGAGTGCTCCAGATATCTAAGGAAGAAACACTACCAATGGCCAGTTACCAGGCTATTACATAAAAGGATCTGCAAGCTAATCTTACTCATGAATAGAAAGGCAAAAATCCTAACTACACTATTAGCCACAAGAATTCCACAATATAGTAACATGCACACCATAACACCACACAAAATGTAAATTCCAAATGGATTAGAGCCCCAAGTGAGAAAAGTAACTCAATAAATCTAGATAATAACAAGAAGAACATTGTAATGACTAAGATATTCTTGAACAGGCAAATAATTTTTTTGAGATTGCTTTCCTTCTTTCTTTGAAAGGGAGAAAGAGAGAGAGAGAGAGAGAGAGAGAGAGAGAGAGAGAGAGAGAAAGGTCTTCTATCTGCTAGTTCATTCCTCCAAATGACTGCAACAGCTAGGGCTGGGCTAAGCTGAAGGCAGGAGCTGAGAATTCTGTCCTGGTCTTCCACACGGGTAGCAGGAACCCAGGTACTTGGGCCATCTTCTGCTGCTTTCTCAGGCACATTAGCAGAAGTTGGATCAGTAGCAAAACAGCTGGAACTTGAACCAGTGCTTTGATACAGGATTCTAGCATTGCAGGAGACAGTTTAATCCACTCACCACAACACTGCCCTGGGCAAAGATTTCTTAAGGAGGACATAAGAGACTCTAATTATAAAAGAAAAGATGGATAAATTAGACTACATTACAAATTAAGATTTTCAATGACAAGGAGGTAGGAACACTTATTACTTTGATTTGATCAGTATAAATTATATACATGTATTAAAATATCATGCTGTACACATAAATATATATCATTATTATGTTAATTTTAAAAGAAAAAAAGGGGTGGACATTTGGTCTAGTGCTTAAGTTGCCAGTGAAGATGGCCCTATCTGACATGATAGTAGCTGGTTTGAGTCCTGACTCCAGCTCCTAACTCTGGTTTCCTGTCAAAGCACACCCTGAGGCAAAGGGGTGATGGACAGGTACTTAGGTTGTGGCTACCCTTGTGGGAGACCTGGATTGTGTTTCCAGCTCCCAGTTTTAGCTGTGGCCAGTCCTGGCTATTGTGAGTATTTGGGGAGTAAAACAGAAGATGGAGGTACTCTCGCATCAATCAATAAAATTTTAAAAGAGAAAAACAAAAACCAAAACACTAAAATTTTGTTTTTATTTTATTCCCTAAAAGATGTCTTTTATTCCCTAAAAGATATCTTTAAGATATGAGTACCAAATAACTGTTATTAGCTTTAACATAAAAAATCATAAAGAATGATAGAGAAAACATTTCTTTTTCTATGACCCAACCTAAGAATAAATAAATCTTTATGTGGTGTGTATTACAGGTATAGCTGTTGCCTGCTGAGTCTCCTGCTTCCCATTCTCCACTCTAATTTTTATCTCATGCCTTCCTGTTCCCAGGACTAACCGCGCTCTCTCCCTGCTCATCTCTCCCTGCAGGTCTTTATATTTTATAGGCGATGTAACTCCAAATAAGAGCTTCTTACTCAGGGTTCCCACAGGAATGTGGGGCACACTCAGCAGCTCTGTGAAGGAGAGCTGCCAAATGAACTATTTGCAGAGGAGTGGTAGGATGTGGACTAGAGACACTGGAATGAGCAGGGCTCTAGAACTCGTTTGGAGTTCCATTCCCCTCTCGCCTAAAGAGTCAAAAAGGCACTCAAAGAAAGAACATACTGGGAATAGGCTGCCTGATGGAGCTAGACTTTTGGCCAAGGGAGGTTTCAGTCTATGAAGCCTTACAGAAAGGAGTCAAGGGAATGGCATCGCTGATACCGCATTGCTGCCTCAGGCTCCTCATTTGCAGAACTCAGTTGAGTGCAAAAGTCAGAGAATCCAGTGCCGCAGTGGACAGAGTTCCATGTGCAGTACAGCTAGGTGCAAGGCAGGTGTGCTCCCCTGTCAAACAGCCCACATTCATGCTACTCTGTGTGTTCTACTGTTATATAAAATTTATCATGATCTCTCTATACTTTTGCCACTTGTTTTCCCCCATACTTTTCCAGAACTTTTTCCAAACTTAGTATTTTTCTTAACATACATTTTTTCTTTCTACCTAAGATAAATTTAAGTCAAGAAGCACATTCTGCTCTGTTCAGTCTTGTAGCCAGGAATGATCTCCAAATTTCAACACTGCACTGCCCTACTGGACAGCTTGCTGCTGAGTCTAGGCTCTGACTTTTTTGGGTATACCAGAGCTAGGATGATTGTCACAGCAGCTTCTGGTGGCAACTGCCTTTGCTACATCCTTGCATTCTCTTCAGCTGGTTTCAGACTGTGTTTTAACATGAGTATATTGCAGAAACCCAGGTCATGAGGCTGCACTGTATTTCCAAGAGATGCTGGGGAAGCAAATTTCTAAGTGTCTCTTTTGGAGGGGTACAAGTTCTATAACAGAGGAAGGGTTAAAAACACCTCAAAGACAGCCAAGGAAGCTTGACAATGCTCCATATCTCTCTGAGTCCATTTTGTGTTGCTATGACAAAATACTTATGACTGAGTACTTTATAAGGAAAACGGCTTGTTTGGCTTACAATTCAGTTGGCTGCAAAGTCCAAACAATATGGCTTCTGGCACCTGGCTGTGTGACAACATGGTAGAGAAGCAGGAAGAGAAACAGCTGCAGGCAGGAGGGGCACATGTTCACATGGGAAGCAAGAGAGGAAGAACCAGGCACCCCTCCCACCAACCCCCCTTTTTAAAGCTGGTATAACAACCTGCGGTTGTAGAAACTAATCCATCCCAAAAGACCTGATCCACTCCCATAAGACAGCATTAATCCATTCATGAGGGCATGTCCTCATGATCTAATTACCCTCTTTTAATCTCAGAGGTTCTACTACTGCACAACCGCCACATTGGAGACCAGCTTTCAGCATGGGTACTTTTGGGGGACAAACACATACAAACAAGAACTGTCCATCCCCTACCAGCTGCCTCTTTCACTAGAATTCCCATCTTAACATATTATAGTGTTGATTCAAACACAAGGCCCCAAGCCTGAGTCCAATCTTGGAAGTTCAGCCCTTCACTGAGAGTGCTTGCCTTTGAGTGAAGCCCCTGGACTACCCAGAATCCCCTTTGACCCAGGTTTCTTTGATGCTAATCAATGCTACCATTGAATTAGCCATTGGTTTTGCCTTTGATGCCTGGGATTTTGCTAAAATAATATGAAACACAATTTTGTTGTTGGCCATCTCACATTTTCACTCCATTATTTTGTCTTGTCTCTTTATTAAAATTTCAGGGATCCTTAGAGGAGTGAGTAATAATCATTTTCATAGGAACTAGCATGTTGCTATGAACATAGGATGTATAAAACTTTACTGTTTGGTAATTCCATGGTTTCAAACTTGAGAGATAATGATTATACTCAAGTGTAGTTTTACAAATAAATACACATGCAATCTGCTCTACAGACCATGATACAAAACAGTTTACACAGTCCCAATACCTAGTGCTCTAGGAGGACATTTATTACTTATTAATATGTCTTACAGTTCCCGTCTTCCTCCCTTCCAGGTTTGTCTTAGATTGTATAGAGGATAAAGTCTGGGAGCTACATGATATTCACAAAAAACCAAGGGGAGAAGAAACTTAGGGTAATACAATGTTTAATCTTTTTGAAACACAAAGAATATAGCTAAAAAGTCTTCTTTAGGGAGAATTTACACCGAGTCAGATACATAAAATTGGGTAGGTAAGACCTCTCAAAGAACTTTTGCAGTTGGAATATATTGGTAGCTCCCTTGGAGATTCCTAAAATATGGTCTTGGGAATGACCAGCTGACCAACAATGCTTCCAATGCCCATGGGGCACAGGAAGTGGGCCAATGAATGACAGTCTTATGCCTGTGTTGACTACTCACCATTTTCTATGCCTTGCTGAGGTGGGTATGCTGATGAATACTGGTGTTTGAAAAACATCCGTGGAGAGAGGGTGAGGCAGCAGATTTAGCCACAGGGAAGTCTCCTTACATCCATGCCATGACCCAGTTCCTGCAATAGAACACATTTGGGGTACTCAGGAAAAGTACCAACAAAAACTATGACAGCTTAGCAGAATAAATATAGGGCCATAAGCCTTTAATAAGTCTAGGAAGAAAAAACCATATCCCAGCTTGTATAAAGGAAGAGGTATAACAAGGTAATTAATTTGATTGGTGATTGAGAGCGGAAATGCTGGTGGTTTGTGTTATGTAGGCAGCATGGATATCCAGGAGTTGCAGCAAGCAGGATTGGAAATGAAATCAATCAGGGCTGGTGCCGCAGCTCACTAGGCTAGTCCTCCACCTGTGGCACTGTCACCCCGGGTTCTAGTTCTGGTTGGGGCGCTGGATTCTGTCCTGGTTGCTCCTCTTCCAGTCCAGCTCTCTGCTGTGGCCCGAGAGTGCAGTGGAGGATGGCCCGAGTGCTTGGGCCCTGCACCCACGATGGAGACCAGAAGGAAGCACCTGGCTCCTGGCTTCAGATCAGTGCAGCACACCGGCCATAGCGGCCATTTGGGGGGTGTACCAACGAAAGGAAGACCTTTCTCTCTGTCTCTCTCTCTAACTGTCTAACTCTGCCTGTCAAAAAAAATCAATCAGAAACCCAGTATAAATTGAGGTTTCCCAGAATGCTATCTTGTGTATTAGTATTTATTAAGCACTCATTAGGTGTAAATGGAGGTCCCAGTGGCATCAAAACAGAGATGCTCTCTGCGCTCTAAGAGAGAAATGTGTGGCACTACAGTAAAAGCTCCATTGTGGCAGTGACTGTTTATTGCTGTGTTGTCAGCACCTAGAACACTGCCCAGTACTTCAATAAATATGCAGTGAGTAAATGAATAAATTATCTCTTAAGTGGTTTTGTCAGTTCCTTTTGTCTGCAATATTTAACTTGAAATAGGCAAGTCAAACCGTGAGGACCTGGATTAGCTTGTGGATGTATAGTCTTACTGAAGCATGAGGCTTTGAGATTGGGCAGGTGTGAAGAATGGATGACAGTTGGAGGCTCACATAGATTCTGTTTGCTAAGCTGAAGAAAGGCAAGGGAGAACACGGTGAACAGAAGAAACACTATAAAGATCTCACAAAGTAAAACTTTATATGACTCAGAGTAACTTGGGAATTCCATGTGATAATAGACAGATCCATTTTACTTGTTTTGGTTATAAGTATAGCTATTTATGAATAATGGTAATGAGCAGAGAATGATTTTAAATGGCACAGTCACAAATAGCTGTGGGCTCTGCAAATAGGGTTACAGCTGCCAACCATAGCATAGTTCTTCTGTGTGTACAGTGTGGTAAGAACAGTTGGCCAGCCACAGGTTTTTTTCAGCCACACCTGTTCACCCAGATAATAGTCACCAGCAGCAGTACCTCTGAGTGTAAAGATAAATATATATTTTGTATGTCTGTGTTATCAGTGTTTATAACTATACACACAATTTGTAAATTAGGGAGTGAGACTGACTGATTTTGTTAGTTTGAAAGAAGAATATGACCCATTGTATATCCCAGGTGGTAACTGACAAATCTTACTTAAATAGATGGATCTCTTAGTTGGGATGATGCCTTCTGAGTCATTAGCATGGTTTCATTTATGTGCTCAATACTGGGAGAACCTTGGTATGAAATGACTCATTAATTATATTAAGTCAGTTATGTCATGGGTCAAATCACAGCTCCTGAAGTACAAACCCACATGTAACAAAGCCTGAAACAATGCAATTGCCCCATTAATCATTCACTCATTCAATAATTCATTCATTTGCTCATTCAACAAATACATATCAAGTGCCTCCTAAGCTGGATGGATTATGGGTAACGTGAATATGAATAATTCATAATCTTTGTCTATAATTATCCTGAGAAAACTAGTTTTATCTTGTGAGACTGGTATTCTTAAAACATCCTATTGAATTTTTGTGGCAGTAATATTAGCTACTATAAAATATTTTCCCATTAGGTTTTTTAAAAAATTTTTGTGGTATCCTCTAAAAGTATGTTTTAGAATATCTGAATTTTTAAACAAAAATAAAATAAAGGGTCAGTGCTAAGCATCAGTGTGCTATTTGGATTTAACAAACCTGTTATGTGCCTTCACTATAATTATAAAGTTTAAAAATGTGTACCTACAGGGTAAAAACTTGTTAGAGCTGCTTGTCTCTCAGCTCAGACTTAATCCAGGCTATTAACTATGATTAAAATTTAAGGTGCTTAATTGTCATGGTTTAAGATATGTCTGTGCACACTAAAACATGCTTAAATATAGTAGGTTTTTCTGGTTAAAGTCACAGAAGAGGTAAAACTTGCCTGCTATTCTCTTCATATTTGAGAATAAGGGGTTACTAGGTTGAAACTATTTAAACAAATAAATGATTTCTTATTCTCCAGAAGGTGAGAATGTTAGTTATTCATTGCTGCTTACCAAATCACTCCATAACTTTCCAACCTAAAATAAGAATTGCTTAATTGGATCACAATTTTCTGGAGCAGTGGAATGGCTCTTGCATTCTGAGTCTGTTTTGTTCATGTTTACTGTCTACTTGGCAGCGCAGCTGAAGCTGGGTTGTTGAGAATGTTTTCATTTGTATGCTTGTTGCATGGAAGATTGGCTGTGTGTAGAGCCCTTAATTTGGGGTGGCTCATTTCTGTCCCTCATGATCTATCATTCTCTAGTGGGCTAGCCTGGGCTTGTTCACACTGTGGTTGAAAATTTCCCAGAAGCACATAAGCCCTTTTAAGTCTCTGCCTGTATCATGCTTGCTAATGGCTCTTTGACCAAACCAAGTTCAAAACAAATAAACAAACCTCCCAGGATTTAAAAAGCTGGGTAAAGATTTTTCCCTCTTTTTGGGACGAACAACATGTCTTATTGCATGGGGATATGCTTGTGCTTAAAGAAATTGAGAAATTGATAGTCATTTATTTGCAATATGCTTTAAAACTATGCTTTATTTTTTGTCAATGAGTGTCAGTGAGCATACTATATAAATAGTAAATGATCAGTAGGTTGCTTCAGGTTTTTGAAGTTTTTAAAAAGAGAAAGTATCTCCAATCTAGTTTTCTGAATCTAGAAACTTTTTAGAAATGTAATATTTACTTACAATTAGAGACTGAGAAACAGTTCCTCAGAAAGAGCATAAAATTCAAAAAATTATTTTGAGTAGAAAAACTGGGATGTGTTGATTAGGATATAGACCATACAAAATTTTGAGGGCGCTGCGGCTCACTAGGATAATCCTCCCCCCTGGGGTGCCGACACTCAGGGTTCTATTCATGGTCAGGGCGCGGGATTCTGTTCCGGTTGCTCTTTTTCCAGGCCAGCTTTTTGTTGTATCCCGGGAGAACAGTGAGGGACGGCCCACTCCTGGGGTGCAGGGTGCTATGCACCCCAGGGGAGACCAGGAGAAGCACCTAGCTCCTGCCATCGGATCAGCGCAGTGCGCCGGCCGCAGCGGGCCGGCCGCGGCGGCCATTGGAGGGTGAACCAAGGGCAAAGGAAGACTTTTTTTTCTGTCTCTTTCTTTCACGGTCCACTCTCCCTGTCAAAAAAAAAAAAAAAAAAAAAAAAAAAAAAAAAAAATTCTATCTCAGCCCTAGCACTGTGCATAGGTCATTGTGGGATTACCATTTCTCTCTTTTCACAGCTGATTCCTTTTTTGTTTGCCCTAGAGCCATACCCCAACCCACTTACATAATGGTTATTCCAAATGTATATCTGCAGCTTTGATCCCTCTCCCGACCACCAGGTCTATTTTATTAATCCCTTTCTTTGTTATCTCTGCAATGGTATCCTCACAGACATTCTAAATGTGGAATACCAAATCTCAATTTACTGCCTTCTGCTCAAAGCTACTTTTCCTGCTATGTCTAACATAGTGAGACATAATGCCAACATTCATTCTATGTTAAAACTAGGAACTTCAGAATTACCTTAGGCTCTTCCTTCTCTACCACCCTTGCTCCTTTTGCATTAACCACTTTAATATTTTTGGATTTCAGTTCTTCTGTTTCCACTGCATCTGTCTAGATTGGACACCTTTTGTATTTCAAGTTTAGTCCACATCTCTTCTATCCATCTAGAGTTAAGCGTTGTAAGATATGACTCATAACGTCATTGCAAACCTTCTATCAGTAAATGCTCATAGCCTTCTGGAATGACCCATATCCTTATCTTGGCTTATAATTATCTTCACAATTTGACCCTCTTGCTCCAGCTGGAGGAAGTTACTTTTTTGTATGCATCGTGACATCTCTGATCTATTTATCCAAACTGATCCCCTGCCCTTGTTATTTTTCCTGATTTCTCTCCTTCTCTACCTGATTAACTCTTCCTCATCCTTTTTTTAAAGATTTATTTATTCATTTGAAAGTCAGAGTTACACACAGAGAGGAAAGGCAGGTGGGGGGGTCTTCCATCTTATGGTTCACTCCCCAATTGGCTGCAACGGCCAGGACTGTGCCGATCTGAAGCCAGGAGCCAGGAACCTCTTCCTGGTCTCCCACGTGGGTGCAGGAGCCCAAGGACTTGGGCCATCTTCTACTGCTTTCCCAGGCCACAGCAGAGAGCTGGATTGGAAGTGGAGCAGCCGGGTCTTGAACCGGTGCCCATATGGGATGCTGGCACATCAGGCTACGGCGTTAACCCACTGCGCCACAGCGCTGGACCCCTTCCTCATTCTTTAAGAATGAACTCAAATGGCCTCTTCTAAGAAAGCATTCATAAGGTAACAGTAGACTTGGGTAGGCAGTCCAATACTTTCCCTTATAACCATCATAAATCACCATCCATAGTTTTTTTTTTTTTGTCAGATATATTAGTTTTTTTATTTTTATTTTTATTTTTTTAATTTTTTGAACTTTTATTTAATGAATATAAATTTCCAGAGTACAGCTTATGGATTACAATGGCTCCCCCCCCCTTAACATCCCTCCCACCCGCAACCCTCCCCTTTCCCACTCCCTCTCCCCTTCCATTCACATCATGATTCATTTTCGATTCTCTTTATATACAGAAGATCAGTTTAGCATACATTAAGTAAAGATTTCAACAGTTTGCTCCCACACAGAAACATAAAGTGAAAAATACTGTTTGAGTACTAGTTATAGCATTAAATCTCAATGTACAGCACACTAAGGACAAAGATCCTACATGAGGAGTAAGTGCACAGTGACTCCTGTTGTTGACTTAACAAATTGACACTCTTGTTTATGGCATCAGTAATCACCCTAGGCTCTTGTCATGAGCTGCCAAGGCTATGGAAGCCCTCTGAGTTCACCGACTCTGATCATATTTAGACAAGGCCATGGTCAAAGTGGAAGTTCTCTCCTCCCTTCAGAGAAAGGTACCTCTTTCTTTGATGACCCGTTCTTTCCACTGGGATCTCACCCATGGAGATCTTTCATTTAGGTTCCCCCCCCCCCAGAGCGTCTTGGCTTTCCATGCCTGAATACTCTCATGGGCATTTCAGCCGGATCCGCATGCCTTAAGGGCTGATTCTGAGGCCAGAGTGCTGTTAGGACATTTGCCATTCTATGGGTCTGCTGTGTATCTCACTTCCCATGTTGGATTGTTCTCTCCCTTTTTTATTCTATCAGCTAGTATTTGCAGACACTATTCTTGTTTATGTGATCCCTTTGGTTCTTAGTCCTATCATTATGATCAATTGTGAACTGAAATTGATCACTGGGACTAGTGAGATGGCATTGGTGCATGCCACCTTGATGGGATTGAATTGGAATCCCCTGGTGTTTTACTTCTGCTACAGTTGGGATATGAATTTGAGTGTCTCTGAAATGTCCATAGGTTGATGGCATGGTCCTCAAAGTCTTAAGTTAATGGTTAATGGATGAATGTTAATGTTTAATTGATTAACAGTGGAGACTTGATCCAATTAGAGTCTGGGAGGTGGGCCCAGTAGAAGGTCCCTGGGTCATTGGGGGTGTGCCCTTGGAATGTAATTGATAAGTATGTGAGTGTGGTTATATAAACTGAATCCAGCATAGCTGATGTCTATGCTTGTTTAGTGTGGGATCCTTCCTGTGTACTTCTTCTGCCACCCACTGCCCTCATCAGACTCTAGACCAATGAGGCCACCTGATCTTGGATTATGATCCTCCAAAATTGTGAGCTGAAATAAACCTTTCTTCATAAGTAGTTTCTCTCAGGCATTTGTTATGGTGACTATACCTAATACACTTACACTGTTATTGATCTGTGTGATATCAGCAGTTAGCTCAGTCTGACACATAGTAAAGCTCTCAGTACTTGATTACTAAGATTGAATGAACTGATTAAATGAATAAGTGAATGCATAAAGGATGTGAGAAGAGGTAAACTATATTGGAGCTTACCACGTTCCTGGCTGCACTGCCATTCGATGCACACACATGGCAGAAGTATTTATTACTGAGAAGTAATTTAGGTAAGCATTGGTCTTGGAAAGATTTAATTTGCATTTAAGACAAGATACAACTCAGGGTAAGAGTGAGATCATGCTGAGAATGGTAATAATTCTGACTTTGAAAATTTAGGGACAATTTATTAATCAATTATTCTATTATTGGAAAAAGCACTGTTAGAAGACTGTTTGAAAACATTTTAGGAGATTCATTTTCTTCTTCATGTGTTATGCTTAATCTCCGGGTTCTCTCTCAACTCTAATCATTTCCTATTACTTTATATCATTGTCTATGTTCTCAGAGAATTAAGAATAACTTTAATATTTGCATAAGTGAGACAAATTAGGAAGGCAAGTAATCATATTTTTCAAAACACAATTGAAATTTAAAAAAAGTGGAAAGAGTGTAGTCTCAGGGAAGAGTTAAGGAGAAAACAGCAGAGGAAACTCAATGTAAATTGGAGGAACACAATGGACCTAAGAGGAGGGCAAAGATGTGTACAACTTAGGACCCCACTAGCTGAAAGTCTTTCCACTAGTGTTGGAGAGCAAGGCAAGACCAGACTGCAGTAGCCCAAGCCACTGGCAAAAAAGCTGCAGGAAGAGCCTAGAGGGAATCTGGTTTGGAGCCCCATGGGGGATAGTGCACCTATCAAACTAGAGGAGAAAAAACAAAAGGGGGGGGGAAGACATGTTTTCTCCCTGATCATCCTGCAAAGGTGTCCTGTAACAAACTAGTAGAGAGCAGGTGCCATTTTGGACATATGTAACAGCTGCACCAGCTTGTGTCTGTGCCCAGCAACAAGCCATGTGGAGACTCCTAAGTCTGGTGGGGAAAATAGACAGGGGGCTGGGTGCTTATGACTCTGGGAGGATTGTGTACAGGGACTGTGAAAACACTGAGGCTGTGTAAGTGGACTCAGGGTATGGCTGGGACTGTGGGCAGTCACTATGGGAGGCTCTACACCATCAGGGCTCCGTTGTTACCTGGTGAGAGACTTTGCTGTGTAATCTGAACTTATACTGAGGACTGCACAGATCCTTTGTGTGATACTTGTGGCAGAGTGGACGAATAATGCACTCAGGGCTAGCACCCAGGTTCTGGTCTCCTTCAAGGAGAGGAGGTCAGCTGAGTCTATGCCAACAGACAAGAAACCTCCCCTCTTATTTAAAAAAAAATAAAAAGGAAAGGAGATTTACCACACCAAACCTGGGTGTGTCACCTCAGACATGCCCTTCACCCTGGAGCACTGACAGAGCTCCCTGACCACTCCACCACATGCCTCAAGGTATTCCCTGAAAGCAGGCACTCCACTAATACAATCATAGCACAAAATAAAAGCCACCACAGCAAAAAATCAAAGAAGAAGCCAGTGAGTATCCCCCAAAATGTCGAATAACAAATGCACCAATCCAAGAAACAAGAACAAGGAAGACAATATGACACCCCCAAAAGAACAAAACATCTCAATCCTAGATTGTGAAGATGATGACATTGAAGAAATGCTGGAAATGGAATTCAAAAAATTGATCATAGGATTACTTAGAAGTAATCAGATGTTAATGCATGAACTGATGAAATCAATACATGACATGATAGAAAATTTCTCGCACGAAATTGAGATCTAAAAGATAAATCAAAATGAAATCTTAGAAGTGAAGAATTCAATAGAACAAATAAAAAATACAATGGAGAGCCTTAACAATAGAATCAGTGAAGCAGAAAAAAAAATATCCGACTTAGAAGACAAAGCACAGGAAATTATACAGTCAGACCAAACATAAGAAGAAC